GAATAATTTAACCTAAATCCAGTCCAGCAACAGATACAATTGGCTATTATATCTCGGATTACTGGTGTTGCAAAACAATTTGGACATCAATCTCTCTACTCCGACGTCTAGAGGATAGAGGATGACCGTAAACGTGAGAATATCCAAAAATTATCCATGGTTGTCTTGATCCAAAATGCAAGATTGACATCAGCAGACTTGGTCCAAAATGCGAGATTATATCTGGTACTAAAAATAATTAAATAAATCTCTATAATTTACCGTTTTGTAAATAATAGGAGGATTAAATAAAAATGAATCCTAACCGATACGACAGAAAGCCTCTCCTTGGAATTTTCAAGCGATTTTCTTAGGTATTCCCAATCTCATTACGGCTTTGGGAATACAAAACAAGTAGGCTATATGAGAACGAGAGACAAGCGACACTTCACAATCACATGTTACATAAATAACTGTAACCATGGGTTGCCATGTTACAAAGTTTAGGCTTTTCCATCTATAACTTATGTACATCATTATGTTCTTGATCCCCGCTTGAAGTAGAAGTTTAATTATCACGGATGTTGCTACTTTTACTATTCTAATACTTTTCCTGTATTAAGTATAAGAATAAAATCATCCATAACGATCTTAATGTACCATATGTTTCCGATTTAGCTCTATCCAGATACTCATCCTTCCATAATAGACTTCTGAACCATCCGAAGCCTCTTGTTTCGAAACTTGCTTCCTCTTCTATTCCTGATAACTCTCCGATGCGTCTGAAAAGAAGATGGCCTCGGGAAATTCTAATATAGAAATATAATTGGAGTGCTACCAATGGGTAGTATCTCTTCATGTTGTACATGTCATGTTACTTGTTTTATATTTACTTGTTCTACTTATCATTTAATACAGTTGTAAATTTCAATAATAAAAAAATAAGAAAATAAAACAAATATAGGAAGCACTTTTCGGCAGACTCAATATGAATAAATTTTTCTTCAATAAAGGTTATAAAACATGCAAACTCTATAAATGATTTAGGGTTACGTTTATTCAAAAAATCTGCACTTGTAAGTTCAAATTCTTGTGTTTCTGCCTGCCTGTTTTTATTTATTTATTTAATAGTAAACATGGTTAAAGACACTAATGTTAGGGATGTACACGGAATAGGACGGAATCTCAAAATCGCTCTGCCACCCAAGAAACTGGACGAGGGCCAAATGAGTTTTTGTTTCGCGGTGGAGGGCTATGGTTTTTTAAACGGGGTCAGCTAATGATTTTGACATATGGCGTTAATTTTTTTCATCTCTTCAGGGCATTTATCGCTGGCCCGCAAAGGTGTCTTTATATAGGACCCCAACTTGGCTACAACTACGTGAACCTAGAAGTTCATTGCAAACTGATGAGGTTCCTCTGTATTGAACCGTTACATTTGTAACTGAATGACATGCGCAATTACTTTGAACTGTATGTATTTAACACAGAGACAGATACAGGGTAACAATGTATGGCTGTGTAGTCTAAACAATATTGACCAAGAGATTGGTCTGAACAATACTGAACAAAAAGAGTGACGCTAAAGGTTACAAACCAAGTTTAAGTTATACTGCATCGAGATCAAAATAAAAATATTACATATTTGTAGAATAACAAAACATATAAATTAAACATAAATAAAATAACTGAATACAAATATTATATTATTATAAAATTACGATTTATTGAGTAATCGATCTGAGATCCGTGATATCACCTCATACAGACACTTTTTTTTTTTTGTTGAATAAATTAAATCACTCATATAGACATCTTGGCCGAAGTATAGTTCAAGCCCGAAATGAGAAAATGATTACAGAAAGAATATTTATCATTTCTTAGTTAAACTAAATTCATAACTGTAATCATTTGTTAATAAACTATAAAACGTAAGATGATGATTTAGTAATGACTTTAACATTGTAATAATAAATTGGTAATATTGACCATTCTTGATTGACAAAAAAATCTGAAGTCATTTCAATAATTAAATATTATATTAGTGCAAGAGGAATCGGAAATTTGATCAAATTAGTTTATTTGGTTTCACATGTACTCCGTTCAACATCATGAGAAAGTTGAGTGGTGCAAGTCAGAAGGAATCATAAAATCCTAGAAGGATATGAAAATGATGTAGCCGTCTTTGGAAGTAATTAAGAAAACATTGAAAGACTTGCTAGGATTGATAAGCAGAGAAAACCGTCAAATAAATTAACGGAGGTTAAACTAAATATATTATCACCTATGTGTTGTAATAAAACGTCGTAGAATAGTCAATTAAAATTTTAATTTATGCGTAAAAGTTTATTAAATATTAACGTTTATAGTCAAAACTTAAAAATCCATTATAACTCACATAGTGTTTTAATCTGAAGACTGCATGTTCAAATCACGTCGGGATCACCATTTATAATCCCCACGGGCGGATCTACGGGGGGGGGAGGGCTTTCGGGCTGAAGCCCCCCCCCAAAATGGAAAAATATAACCATGTTTTATGGAAAAACAAAATTAAAAAATACCTCTTAAAGTATTATTCTTCGTGTAATTACATTTAATAGTGCTTAAGGAATAACTTAAACACCATTTCATATAGGTAGTTAGTTTCTTTCTGTTTTTCCAAAGTAATTATCGTTATTTTTATTTAAAAAAAAGGTTTCGGTCTCAAGCCCCCCCCCCAAAATTAAATCCTGGATCCGCTAGTGATAATCCCCCATGTATACCTAGTTCTGCCACAAATATTATTACAAAAGTTGAACTTTGTTTACATCCTTGGGTATTATTATTGGGTATAGATAATTCTTACCTCTAATCAGGTTATTTTCTTTGCATGTCAAGATAATAATTCTAATTAGTTTGTATTTTTCTTTCGCTCAGCTAACATGGATCGGGGTGGTAAAGAAAACCAAATAGCTGTGACTGCCTTACACGAAGTTGGAAAATGTAGATCAGAGATTTTCAACATTTTGAAACCTTAAAGTATCAGCCGTATGTTCGTGTAGCGCACTATAAGTAGATATAATGAGACCCTATGTTTATGTGACAGACCTCGACCGGGCCCCGCACTGCGAGATCGGCAAATGCAATGAGAGCAGTGGCTGCTCGAATCAGAAGAAATCCCAATCGAAAACAACAAATCATGTCTTGGGAAATAGGAATCTCTGTCAGATCAATGTCTCGCATAGTAAAAAGTGGCCTTAGGATGGGTGTATTTCGAAGAATGACAAGACAGCCTAACCACTTACCAAAAAAAAATTAGAGTGAATAGATGCAAAGTACTCCTTGGTCGTTACACCAATGGTCTTCATCGAAAAATTTTGTTTAGCGATGTGTGTACGCACACAGCTCTAAAGAAGCCCAGGAAATCATTGGAAGAGTGGAAAGAGGTCATCACTCTTCCTCAATGATTGTTTTTTTGGGGCGTTTGCTTTGATGGCACCACAAAGCTCCATTTTTGTGAAAAAGGAGTTAAAACAGCCGCTAAAAACTATCTAGGACGATATTTTGAAATCTGTTGTCAAGCCTCTAAATGATACTCTGTTTGCTGGAAGTGGTTGGGTTTTCCAGTAGGATTCCGCTCCAGCTTACAAGGCCAGGTCAGGCCCTCAGGAAGCCCTGATCTCAATCCACTAGATTATCGGCTTTAGTCTGAACTGGAGAGGATGGCATGCCACAGAGTACTCTCTAACTTGAAAAGCCTCAAACAATCTCTGGTCCGAGCAGTTGAACGCTTTCCTCAAGAAGTGCTATTTATGACTGGCCACAGAGATTAAATGCCTGTGTCGAGGCAAAAGGGGAACATTTTGAGTAATTTCTTTTTTGTTTTACTCTCGATAGATATACATTTTATTTTCTAATAATGTTTTTGAAAAAAATAATTTTTTTGTTGAAATCTATATATATTTCCTTGTAACAATATTTATGACAGGACTAGGCAGAAATAATATGTCTTAGAATAGCTAACCATTTGAACTTACATAGTGTCCTGATTACGTCTGTAATTACTGTGTCTTTCTGATTGTATAAGGCGTTCAACATTTATAAGAAATGATAAAAACTATATTATCTTATTTTAACTTGAAAGCTCCCTTCCTTCTGTTATTTTCTAATTCCCTAAAACTGTAACCTCCCGATCAGTTACATCAATCAATCATCGTCCCGACATTAACATCAATGATTGACTAACGGCCGGAAACAGACTAGTGTATAAAAAGTGAAAAGCTTTCTTCTTTCTTTCAAAGATTTTGAAATTCCGAAATTTCAAATTAAGAACTGATACGGCTGATCAAATAAATAAGTGATACGGCAAAGTTCTGATAAACGGTTGCTAGACCCCGTAACGATTCCTCTAAACGTTTAAAAAATGAAAGAAATTATGAATATCTAAATTATCACTTTTGAATGATTTAGAGATGAATTTTGTACACATGCCGACCGACAGAAATGGTTCCTACAGGAAATATTTATGTGCATTTATTAAACATTCAACAGTGTACCACAATTAGTTCATTCACGGACTAAATTTTCATACAGTCAGTACAATCTTACTTTATTATATTTGAGGTATTTAAAAAAAATTAAAATAAATTAATATAATTTTTCTTAAATATGTTATAAAGAACCATGGATGCGAATTAATGACAATGGAGCGTGTTTAGGATGCGCTTTGACATTTTCGAGTCAGAAGCGATTCCGGTTCGAATTCTACTCGAGGAGGATAAAATTTATATTTTGACGGAACCAATCTTTTTACTCTGACAAGAAAAATTGATTACCTGACGGATAGTCTAATAAACCAGCAAATAACATTAAATAATATCAACATCACATCACATCAACACAATGAATTGTATATATATATATATATATATATATATATATATATATATATATATATATATATATAAATTAAAGAATTTAACTAACCATTCAGAACTGATCTAAGTTATTTATAGATTTAATTATTTTACTTTTTTTTTCAGGTGACCAATATATTGTTGCGAATGAAGACATAGGACATCCTAATTGTGTTGGTATGAATTATTTTTTATATTATTTTTATTTATGTAATTTACAACTGTATAAAAATTAGTGTTGCCCAGTTATTCGACCATGATCTTGCTCATGCAAAGTGCAAAACCAAGACCGATTTTGGGCGACACTAATAAAAACGAACATACATCTAGGAAATGTTATAAACTACCCATTGGTAGGACTCAATTAAAATTTCTAAATTAGGAGATCACAAGACCATCTTATTTTAAGACGCCTCGGAAGGTTATCAAGGATCGAAGAGGAAGCAATGTTAGAAATGAAAAGATTAGAATGGTTCTGAAGTTTATTATGGAAGTATAGGTATCTTATTCGGCCTGATCGGAAATGTATGGAACATAAGTAAAAGGTCGTTAACGAGGGTTAACCGTATAAAGCCGTTATGGATGGTTTTATTTGTAACAAAGTAACAAGCATTAAGGATTTTACGAAGGGTTTTGGATTGTAAGGATTGGATACGAGAGTAATTGGATGATTTAGTGAAGCCAGAAAGCTCAATTCCGCATGTCTAAAGAGGCCTTATTATAGTAATGTATATGAGTCTTTTGTAATTAATTGGAAGTTTAGAGCGTTTTTCTAGTAAGTGCTGAAGTAATCGGAAACGTCGAGAGGTTTCTTGTCGTCTCACTCTGGTATGTTTTTAAAACTAGATTCCCCATTAGTAGTTATGGGAAGATATATCTAAACATTGCTATGAGTCGTTTGTAATTAATTGGTAGCTTGGAGCGTTATTTTATAATTAAATGGATTTTAGTAATTAAATTGCGCGTACAGTGTCATAAAAAAATGCTATCAAAAGTAGAAAATAAAATAAATGCAATCAAAATCTTTGTTATAAACCCACTACATCTGTCTGTCATATTTTGATAATATTTCACTTTTCTCTGTTGAAACGAATCTGCTCCATCATGGCAAGCATATTATTTTGAATCCTCATTCAAGATTGTAACTGCTCATTGATTCCTATCACTACAATATTTACTCAACAAACGCTCTGAACTAGTACACGGTGGGCCAGACCCCCTTACCGTGCACCCCCCCCCCCACATCCCTATAAATTGCATATCGTTGTGTTCCTTGTAACAATTTATTAAAAAAAAGCCAATGTTCCCACAAAAAAAAGTGAACGCACTGCCCCAAAATGGCGTCCAAAGATGGCGGATTGACGACTTTGACTTTAGTTAGTTTTTTGGTCACTGAGAATCAGCATTAAGCTTAATTTCCTCATAGTTGGTCTTTTATTAAAGCTGAATAGTTATAGAATAATAAAACATGAAGAAATATTAAAAAATAATTGTCTAAGGCTATGAAAAACACCAGTAAACTCAATTTTTTTAACAAAAAAATTTTCAAGTTACAAATCAAGCGTCGTTTGTAATTAAACGGCCTACAATAACGCAAAACGTGCTGAAATAAACCATCTGGAGAATATATTTCTCTTTCTGAAACGCTGATTATTTTTTACAAATGTTTAAGTAGTTCCGTAAAAAATGCACTTATGCGGCAGAAAAGCGGTACTGGCGTGGGTGCCTACAGGCCTCTACCACACCATTCAGTGCCCATAAATGGCTTAGTTATAGTGATATAATAACATTTTTGGTACATTATATTGGTTTTATTAACGAACAAATATTAATGCAATAATTTTATAGTAAAAAAAAAAAAATTTAATTTAAAAAAAAATTTATTATAATTTTTTTAAATTTTAACCTCCTTTATTTTATACGTAGGTCGTTTAAGAATACCTCAATTGTAAAAATGATATAATTATAATAATAAAAGTTAATTAAAAAATATTTTGCTAAATATCTTGATTTTTTTTTATTTAACGTTTGCAATTTAACACTGTGTTTTGAATATTTACTGATTCTTAGAAGTAATTAAAATTTTTATATATTTCCCAGGAAATGAGTCATATTCATACCTTTTTTATAAACTAAAATAATATATACCTAATCTGAACTATATATAATGAATAGCTACCGGGTTGTTTAGTAAAACTCATATATCACTAATTAAAAAATTAATTTTTATTTCCTTTATTTTGTGCAGAAGTTGGACTATATCATAAATAAATAGGAAATTTTAATATTGAATGAATTATTCTCTATGCACAAAGAAAGATATAAAGGGTGACCCTATAAGTTCTTCTATAAACCAAAACTGATGGTTTGGATTTGATCTCAAAATGAGGAAAAACGTGAACTTAAACGAGAAAATTGGAAAAATACATTAAGCGAACGAGAAAGGAAGTGCCAAAACCTCGGAATAGATAAAAAGGACCAGTTATATCCATTATATAGCTCAATGAATGTATAGTAGATAGATGAACAGAATATTTCAAGATGCTGCTAAAACGGGATCAATTGCAGTTTGGATGATATTAAGTGGACGATGTAGGTTTATTATGGTGAAAACCACTTTATTTTCGATTGCTGAAGGTGCACCTCGGGACTATATTAACTTTGAAGATGAATATAGAGATGTATATCGAGAAAGTTATAGCTCATGGCTTTCCTTCTGTTTAGTGGATTTTCAAAAGATTTTTTAAGGTATCTTATATTAGTTGTAGCTCGCTATTCTTCTCGTTATTCTTGAATTGTTCGGAATTTGTACCATATCATAAAAAAATAGGAAATTTTAATATTGAATGTATTATTCTCTCTGCACAAAGAAAGATGGAAAGGGCGAAACCAAACTGCTTTGACAGTTTTGCGCGTACATAGGCAACAAGCATATTAGAAAATAATATGAAAGGACTGTGGTTTTTACCTTTACAAGAAAGGAGATACTAGGAAATGTAATACCCATCAAGACCCATTCCTGTTTAGTGTATCAAACAAATTATACACAAGAATCGTAGAAGCTGGAATAAGAAATATTGTCGATTGCCAGAGCGATATGGATTGAGAAACTCAAGTTGCACATTGGAAGAGAAGTTGAAAATTGGGACTGTCTTCACTTTAAGGCAGGTTATAGAGAAGTCCACATAAAAAGAAAAATAGCTCTCTATCTGCTCAGTGCCTCACACTTTGGATTATGCTAATATCTAACTGTCTCTCAGAAAAACTCGTTTTCCTTTTAGATCCCTTAAAAAATCTTTTGAAAATCCACTAAACAGAAGGAAAGCTATGAGCTATAACTTTCTCGATATACATCTCTATATTCATCTTCAAAGTTAATATAGTCCCGAGGTGCACCTTCAGCAATCGAAAATAAAGTGGTTTTCACCATAATAAACCTACATCGTCCACTTAATATCATCCAAACTGCAATTGATCCCGTTTTAGCAGCATCTTGAAATATTCTGTTCATCTATCTACTATACATTCATTGAGCTATATAATGGATATAACTGGTCCTTTTTATCTATTCCGAGGTTTTGGCACTTCCTTTCTCGTTCGCTTAATGTATTTTTCCAATTTTCTCGTTTAAGTTCACGTTTTTCCTCATTTTGAGATCAAATCCAAACAATCAGTTTTGGTTTATAGAAGAACTTATAGGGTCACCCTTTATATCTTTCTTTGTGCATAGAGAATAATTCATTCAATATTAAAATTTCCTATTTATTTATGATATAGTCCAACTTCTGCACAAAATAAAGGAAATAAAAATTAATTTTTTAATTAGTGATATATGAGTTTTACTAAACAACCCGGTAGCTATTCATTATATATAGTTCAGATTAGGTATATATTATTTTAGTTTATAAAAAAGGTATGAATATGACTCATTTCCTGGGAAATATATAAAAATTTTAATTACTTCTAAGAATCAGTAAATATTCAAAACACAGTGTTAAATTGCAAACGTTAAATAAAAAAAAATCAAGATATTTAGCAAAATATTTTTTAATTAACTTTTATTATTATAATTATATCATTTTTACAATTGAGGTATTCTTAAACGACCTACGTATAAAATAAAGGAGGTTAAAATTTAAAAAAAATTATAATAAATTTTTTTTTAAATTAATTTTTTTTTTTTTACTATAAAATTATTGCATTAATATTTGTTCGTTAATAAAACCAATATAATGTACCAAAAATGTTATTATATCACTATAACTAAGCCATTTATGGGCACTGAATGGTGTGGTAGAGGCCTGTAGGCACCCACGCCAGTACCGCTTTTCTGCCGCATAAGTGCATTTTTTACGGAACTACTTAAACATTTGTAAAAAATAATCAGCGTTTCAGAAAGAGAAATATATTCTCCAGATGGTTTATTTCAGCACGTTTTGCGTTATTGTAGGCCGTTTAATTACAAACGACGCTTGATTTGTAACTTGAAAATTTTTTTGTTAAAAAAATTGAGTTTACTGGTGTTTTTCATAGCCTTAGACAATTATTTTTTAATATTTCTTCATGTTTTATTATTCTATAACTATTCAGCTTTAATAAAAGACCAACTATGAGGAAATTAAGCTTAATGCTGATTCTCAGTGACCAAAAAACTAACTAAAGTCAAAGTCGTCAATCCGCCATCTTTGGACGCCATTTTGGGGCAGTGCGTTCACTTTTTTTTGTGGGAACATTGGCTTTTTTTTAATAAATTGTTACAAGGAACACAACGATATGCAATTTATAGGGATGTGGGGGGGGGGTGCACGGTAAGGGGGTCTGGCCCACCGTGTACTAGTTCAGAGCGTTTGTTGAGTAAATATTGTAGTGATAGGAATCAATGAGCAGTTACAATCATAACTGGTCCTTTTTATCTCTTCCGAGGTTTTGGCACTTCCTTTCACGTTTTTCCTCATTTTGAGATCAAATCCAAACCATCAGTTTTGGTTTATAGAAGAACTTATAGGGTCACCCTTTATATCTTTCTTTGTGCATAGAGAATAATTCATTCAATATTAAAATTTCCTATTTATTTATGATATAGTCCAACTTCTGCACAAAATAAAGGAAATAAAAATTAATTTTTTAATTAGTGATATATGAGTTTTACTAAACAACCCGGTAGCTATTCATTATAT